ACCTTTAGGATATCTGTCAGTATAGTAACCAGCTAAGCGTATGAGCTCCTGAACAGTTTCTCAAAGAAGGGAACTTCAATGAAGTTCAACACTGTTAACAGTTTTCTGGGTAGGCCTGTATACCTGTCTCAGCTTGGTCCAACTAGTTGCCATGTTTTATTGAGAATTATGATTACACAAGAGGCTTAGTCCCAAAGACACATATTGTTAGATGCTTTGGATTAAAAAAAAACACCCCCAAAACATCCCCCGCAAACGAAACCAAAAAGATAGTTTTCCACAGGGCAGCAGATGAGAAACTGAGTATCTGAGACAGGTACTGAGTTACAGCCTGAACTGATGCTTTTCTGTTTCTGGTTTTCCTTCTCACAACTTTGCATCTTACAGTTTCTGTGCTTTATATGAATGACATTACCAGGATTTTAGTTGAGAGAACAAGGTGTGTGTGATGTACCAGTGCTGTGAATCAGCAGAGGGCACTGCGTGCCTATAAACCTACGTAACTGAATTAACATGCAGAGTGACATCTTGGTGAAGTTAGCATCAGTTACTCCAAGGTTTAGATGATTTAGCTGAGGGAATATCTGTGCTCATTCAGTGATGCAGAGAATGCACCACACCATCTCATTCCTTCCAATGAAAGATGACTATATTTATAAGGTGTTTATACCGTGCTATAAAAAAATGCACGGATCATTGGCACCAGGGGCTTCGATTCACAATACTGCATCCCACTTGGGCGCTACCTGGGTACATAATGTTTAGGGGAGCATAAAGTTATCTTATGCATGCAAAAGCAGACTTTCTCCTGAGATACCACTCTTCATTGAGATAGTGGTGTTTCCTGGCAGAGTGTGTCCTTTCTCAGCTAACCAGTCACTCGCTCTCACCCTCACAGGAAAAAGTGTGGGGGATCTGGCCCCTATGCCCTCCCAAGTGCTGGGCCTGATATTCAAGTGGCTACTGATATTCAGCTGCCACGCTGTGGTTTTTTCCCCCTGTAATAACCTGCTTCTTATGTCAGCTATGTGACCTGAAACAGAGCTGATGTGTGCAGAAGGTTTATTTCTATTTCTACTCATATTACATGGGTCCAGTGTAACTAAGCCAAATATTAGTTGATGTGAAACAGATGGATGAGAAAATCTATTGGGAATTGTAATATTTGTGACAAACACTGGATTTCTCATTTCCCTGTTTGTTTATTCCTGAGGCAGCTGGGTTGCATGAGTTTCCTGCCTATAGTTTCAGCTTCTTCAGTATGCTTTAGCCCATACTGCAGCAACAGCCTTCATAAGTAGCAAACCAGCAAGTGACCCATACAATAGCAGGTAGACCTCCAAGTGCTGATGCTGGTGTTCTGTTTTTGGAAGCATTCCAAGTGGCACTGTGAAACAGTTTATATATATATATATGCGCCTGTATTAAATACTATTAAGCCCTAAAAAAAGTAAAAGGTAAGAAACACTTCTGAGCATTATAGTACTGGTGTTGAAATATCATGTGAAATGATCAGAAGGGGTGGTTATTATGGCTGGTTTTATACTGCTCTGATTTAGGTATAAAAATACTTGAAAAGGAAATGTTTTGTGCATCTGGGGCATATTTTTTATCTGTGTCTTGTTTTCCTTTAGAGATTATACAGCACCAGGAGGTACGGAGAATGCTATTCCCAGCAGTATGATAGAAATAGGCAAATTTTGCCTAAGTATTAAAAAGGTTGTTGTATTTGCAAAAGCGCAAATTCATCAGAAGTAGAGCTGAAATGTTTCAGTTTGTTGGAAACTACTCAGAGCTATGTGTAGTCTTTCTTTGGTGGTGCTATTTTTGTTTCTGTGTAGAGCCTAGTCTTGAAATCTCTTCTCAAACAAAATTCTGATTGACAGCTCCTGGAGTTTTGTCCATGTAGGAAATAAGGATAAGGCCTTAGGTAGTGTCTTAGGAGCTCTTGAAAGTAACTTTCACAGGAGAGTCCCTAACTTTGATGATAATTTTTATTTTTCCAGGTTGAAGTTGTTCTTGTGCTTTATTTGATTTGTCACCCCAGATTTCTGCACAAGAGACATACCCAAGATTTCCCTTTCTGCAGTTCAAATTCAGTGAAATAGAAGAATAGTAAAACAAAGATATGTTTGTGTATCTCTTAGCTGTGCGCTCATGAGGAAGCACCACAGGGAATTCATAAGACTTGAGTTAACTCAGAGGGGATAACTCAGTTGAGATTGCCTCTGGCAGAGCAGGAAGCTGAGAACAAAATCAATAATTGGAATAACCCATTCTGATGCTGTCCTGGTTTTCTTGAGCATAGCAGTATACGTGTTTCATAAATCTAAATCTGGGAAATGCTAGGTACTTAAAACCAAACTGATATGCTCTGTCCCTGGAATACCTACACGGCGTTTACACTAGTGAAGGGTGGCTCCAGTGTTCAGAAGAAGGCACAGTAAAAACTGACTTCTTGCTGCCGTAGGAGTTGGTTATGGAATTTTAATGTGCCCAAAAGGCTAAAAGGTAATTACCAACATGGTTCAGATGTTACTAGCTGGGATGGGAAGGTACTCAGTCTGAGAGCTTTTGTTCTTCTTTCATAGCCCTTTGGCAGCAGAGTATGAAGGTGTGCCCCAGGTCAAATTAATTTCATGTTAAGAGATTCCATAATAGTACCCAAATGTCCATATTGGGACTAAATGCTTCTGATGAAACATACTCATTGAGTTCATATCTATCTACAGGGATATGTTTTCCTGATCCCAATTTAATGTATTTTCATATGGTTGAGCACAAGAGCTGTAGAAATGTCCTTTGCTCCATGCTGAATGAAAAAGAAAAAAACAAACCTCCATTTTCTAGAGTATTTGTGAAGATGTACTATAATGTCCATTCTTAAATTGGAAATGCTAGGTTTTCAACCAATGTGCTTCTGGCTCATGAAGTGACTGGAGATCTGCTCTGGCTATGACAAAACTTCTGATTGAAAACTTTTTAAAATTTGATGTTTTGGCATTTTACAAACCCTAATCTCTCCTCAAAAGCACTGCAAAATGAAATAGTTGTTTTGCAGCTACTTCTTCATATGTCCATGTACCAAAGAATCAAATCCTTTCCTCCCACACTTTGGTTTCTTCTTAACTTCCATTACCTTGGTGTTTCTGACAAGGATTCCATTAGAGTCCTGCGTCTGTACAAAGACTAGGTGAAAACCAGTTTTTTCTTCACTTTCTCTAGCCTGTTGGGGTTTTTTGTAAACTAATTTTCTCTTATTCTTAGGTTTGATTTTTTTTTTTTTTTTGTCCTTACTGCTTTCTAAGTATCTCTCTCCTTGAACTGGAAGTCCTCGAAGTTATTAGCCAGCATTTTTCAAGGTTATATCTCATTTTGTTATTTCCAGACCAAGTTTTGAGTCTTTCAGGATCCCTTTGTGTCCTCTCACTGTCTCTTCTGGTGCTTGCAAACACCTGCAGATTTGCATAATGTGCTCTCTGTCCCTTCTTTCACATTATTAATAGAGGCTAAATCAAATCTAGCCCGACACTTCTTTGTGTAAGTGGTCTTTGGATACTTCTGCTCAAGAAGACACAGTGTTGTTATTATTGTTACGTGGTTCTAAATATTAAATCTTGAGGCAGTATTTCTTTTGAAGCCAGTGTAAATATTTTTTTAGTGATGGATTGGTGTGGCATTGCATCAATTATCTATTAAAAGTTGGTACTTCTACCAATTGACATTCATGCTGATGCAGTGCCCTCTTAAATACATAATTTAATATAAGTTTTGAAAAATCAGCTGTGACACACAATATGGCCTTTATTATTTATCTGTTTTATGGTGTCCAGAATGCATTGTGGAAAAATAAGTAACCACGTAATGCTAATGAGCATTTCTTTGTGAATTTTTAAAGCTATTATGCTGCCATCCATATAGTCAGCCAGGGAAATCCCATGTAAATAAAATAGCTCTACAAATTACCTGTTGTCTTCCACTCTTAATTAAGCTAGACTTTCTGAATATCTAGTAGCAGACATACAGATATATAAAATAACTGTTAGATATATAATGATGTAATTGGGACATTTGTATTGGCCACACTATCGCTCTCTGGAATTTATGGCCAGAGGTGTTGGATTGGAAGAATGAGTCATTATTAGTAAATGCTACATTTTCTGTAGGGCTGGGGATTTTTAGGTTAGCTGAAACCATTTTTTTCCAGGAAGGTCTCTCAGCTATGATTTTAATGTATAGTAAAGCTCATCAGAGCTGCTTTTGTCTGATTTTGAAAGAAAAAAATCCCCACTAAATACAATTAACAGTTCAGTCTTTTCATGAACCTCTAGGAGAAAAAAACGTAACATATGTTTCTCTTTTTTGGTAAAAAATAGCCAATTTTTCATCCCAGTTGAGCAATGCTGTTCTGTCTCATTTTTTTGGTCTGATCTTAGTGACTCTACTGCAGGGTATTCATTTTGTTGCCCAGAAACGCCCAGTATAAAGCTTTGAAGATACAAGGCAGTGTAAGTTCTGCACACAACTGACTTAATTCAGCTGTGTGTCACACTTAAGTTGCACATGCAGAATAACAGGATCACAGAACGGTTGAGGTTGGATGGGACCTCTGGAGGTCATCTGGTCCAACCCCCCTGCTCAAGCAGGGCCACCTAGAGCTGGTTGCCCAGGACTGTGTTCAGGTGGCTTTTGAACATCTCCAAGGATGGAGACTCCACAACCTTTCTGGGCAACCTGTGCCAGGGCTCGGTCACCCTCACAGTGAAAAAGTATTTCCTGATGTTCAGAAGGAGCCTCCTGTGTTTCAGTGTGTGCCCATTGCCTCTTGCTCTGCGTGCATACACAGACACAATCTGTCAGAAGCTGTTACATGTATTGATTAGATTTGTGCTTTCGTGCAGTGAACACTTAACCATTTGGTGCAGCTTTCTGCACATGGAAGCCAAGATTATGGTTGTATTTAGTTTTTATGATGTTATTGTTTGTTTTTTATCTTGTAGGGTAGGTCTTACCCCTTTAAAGGTCCATTCCCTCCTATGTGGAATCTGTTGGCCTACCTGGACTACAATAACCTATGGAGGACCATGGATGAAATGGGAAAGGAGGTACGGCATGAGGAATTGCAGCAGACTGTCTCAGCTTGGCTTTGCCTCCGTGAGGGGCAGAGTGAAGTTGGGAGTAGGATGCAGATAGGCAAAGCTGCCCTAGCTTGAACAGACCTGGTGATGGCAAGAGCAGCATCATGCCATGCATTTTGGTATGCACTGATGGTCAGAGCACATGTGTAAGTGGCATCCTGGCAAGCTCTTCTGAAGGCCATGCTGCTGAGTCTCCAGTCATACCTTCATTTTTCTGGATATATGAACATTAGGGTTTATGCTTGTGATCTTTAGCACTTTGCCTGACGATTGGGTAAGTAATATTTTAAGAGGCTGGTAGACCTCAAGTGTATGCCCTTCTCCACCCCCAAATTCAACTTGTCTGTTTTAGTTACCAGTTGTGTATGCTCTTCATTGACTGAGCCACAAGACTTTGAGAAGAGGTTGCTGTTACTTGCATAGATGAATGGGAGAGATATGGAATAACTCAGAGAAATTCCCCAGCACTGTATGTTGCCTTTCTAGGCAAAGTTCTTAACTCTAAAATTATTCTGTATTCTTCAATCTAAAAAAAAAAGATCTTAAAACAAGCAAACAAACAACAAAAAACCTAAAAGCATCCTCTGTTAAGTTCGCTGTATTACCTGCCAGGAATTTGCAGGCTGAATTACCATGTAAAGATGAGATGGATTGTGATTGATTGTGTTTGTTGTCTTTTTCTTATGCCATTCATTCATTTGCTAATGAACGCTCTTTTGTGTCTCCTTAGATTCCCAGCGAAGCCCCATGGAAGGCTCCACATGCAGAAGAATGGGACAAAATGACTATGCAAGACTTCATAGATAAAATTTGCTGGACAAAGTAAGAAACTCTTTTAATATGAAATACAATAGCTTATATTTATATACCTTAGAGCTCCAAATAAGCGTTACTGCTTTGCAAACAGATATAACTACCACTAGAATGCAGCTATTTTAAAGGAATGGGGTGAGAAAATCTTGTAATAATGGACCACAACACCTGTCAGCACACACAGTAGATTCTGTTATATTTCCATAACTTTTTAGGCTAAATAAAGATAAAATGAAAATTTGGGGAGGGTTACTTCTGAAGATATGGGTAGTAACTTCATCTGTTATGTGCACTTTCCCTCTCTTTACTGTGTGTTTAACCTTTAAGAGAAAAATGCTCTGGCTACAGCAGGTTTTTGAATGAAACTTTTGATGGAACAACACCCATTTATTCTGTGCTGGACCAGCTGATTTTACCAAAGTGCTATAAAAATAACATTTGTCTTGAAATAGCACTAAATCACTTTAACACCTATCATTCTGTTGTTTAACTGCTGCACTATATACCACACAGGGAAACTGAAAATGCTTCCTGTTTTTATGTATACATCAAAGCAATTTTTCTTTACTTGCCATTCAACAACAGTTTGATTGGTTTTCTTCGCACTGAAGGAAAAGAAAACAGTAATTCTGCCTTGCTGTAAAGCAGATTGATTTCTACAGAAACCTCTTCAGAATTGCTAAGCACCTGACGTGTGGCTGCCACAAGTCTGCATAAGCTTGGTGCAGAAGCCTGCTAGCACCCACTCAAGCTGACACTGTCATCGACAGGGGCATTTTTACGGCTTCAGACAGCCTCTAGAGTGCAACATGATCTTTGTTAATGGACAGTAGGCTCTTGTCCAAAAACTTTTCATCTTCTGGTTGTTTTGCTTTAACAAGAGTGACAATTGCACAAAAACATATAGAAACCCTTTCTTGTTTGTATCACCATCCATGTTCAGTAAAACCAAATAGAAATGTATGCTGGTGGTTCTGCTGGCCATCTGAACCTCTGATTTGGTAAGGAGCTATACAAGTTAGCAAAACACCACGCATCAGTAGTCATTCAATATCCAATAGCTCACGTGACTGCCGACATATTTACTTCAAATTCTGATGGAATAAGACTTGACGTTTTACCTGAATGTTGGCATAACTGTCAGCCTCCCTTAATTCCAAGATGCTTTTCAGATTTTATATGTGCATCTCAGCTTGATTTACCCAGTTGTTCAAGATTTAGGTAACATGCCATAGAAACTTCCCACCCTGGAAGGTAGTGATCCAGAAGGGTAATCTTCTACTGTTTCCTCTCATCTAACAGACTATACAGATTTGCTTTTGGCTAGAGTTGCATGCTGGAAATACCCTGAGTGCTCTTGGTTGAAATCATACTGCCATTTCTAGGTAAAACACCAGGAGAAACTGGGGAACTGAAATGCTGAAAAGCACTGGGAGAAGGCAGCAGAAACTAGGAAAATTTAACCACAATCTAACAGCTTTTGCTTTTGAAATATTAATAAATACATATACTAATTCTTCCATTAGACAAAATATCTTTCAGAGTTGATCATATGTGTTTATACAGACAAAAATTGATAAATATTTTCTGTATTATTTTTGGCTATCAAGAATGAATCCAGAATGCACCTGTATTTCAGAAAATGGATCAGCTCTTTACTTCAGTGAGACTTTGCCTTTTTAGAAAGGACAGAAGATGCCTTTTTTTCTATGTAGAGCTACAGCTGTTTGAAATAGTACATTTAAGTTACACTTTTCTTTTTTTCTTTTTTTTTTTTAAAGTTTGAAGACTTAAAGAAAGAAGTGACTAAAAGTGCATTCTGTACTGGCTTTGGAAATTATTGATTGCCTGATGCCTGGCATATGAAATACCTATAAAATCTCAGTCCCTGTCAATCACAGTGCAGTTAAGCTGAGCATTTCCTGGTCCTGTCCATGTCCCTTTAAACTCCTCCTCAGAGTGAGGGCAGAGAAAGTAGTTAGTTCTAACAGGTGGAATGTTTCCCTGAGCCTTAATTAACTCTGTCTTAGTGCACCCCAAAATCTTGTATAGATTTATACAGTAATTTTCAGTAGGGCTGTTATGAAAGCACCAACTGGAGGACATAAAGCAGTGATTCTTTTTCAGACAGAGGACAGTTTTCCACTTCTGAGTTCATCACCACTAGCTACCAGACTGCTGTTTAAAATACTGAGTTGAGCAACCAAATGCATCCTTTCCCTTTTCTTGCCAGAGTTTTGCATGAATGTGTGTGTGCTGTCTCTTCACTTACGGCTTTATACTTACATTTCTTTCCTTATTGTGTTCCAGCTGCAGCACTCTCCCTGAGCACAGCAGAGGAGTGGGCAGTGAGGGGATGCTGACTAATCCAGAGAGCTTAGTTAATTAGCTTAGACAAGATCCCTAACTTTTTTATGACAAGTGTTGAATAATCTCTATGCTGTGTGCTTGAGGGACGGGCATTCAGAAGGTGCAAACAGAGCTGTGGATCTTGTATGTAACCCAAGAACCATGGGAGGACATGGTGGTTTTGGAGTCCAGTGAAGACGGGAGCGCTTGCTTCCCTTTATCCTGAGTCTAGGATGACAAGCTAACATTGCATTAGTAGCATAAAGTGACATAAGCTTTCATGGGCTCGTATGCGTCCCTAATTTGGCTGGAATACAGCAGTGCTTGATTAACACTTTTTTGCAGGGTTACTTGAAAAAATGTTGGGTAAAAGGGATTGATAGATTCCTACTTCAACTGAAATTAAGGAATCCTTTGCCCGCAGTGAAAGAAGAGGTTGCTGAAGACAGTCTCTCCCCTACTAAAGAACAATCTTGTCACCCTTCTTCAGTTTTTAAATTAACTCACTTTCTTGTCTTTGTTGCAGTGCTGCCAAGAGTTTCGCAACTCTATTTGTGAATGTGGATGTCACTTCTGAACCCCATGAGGTCTCTGCCCTTTGGTTTTTGTGGTACGTGAAGCAGTGTGGGGGGACAACAAGGATATTCTCAACAACAAATGGAGGACAGGTACTGTCAGCCATCACTTTCTGCGTCTTGTGACAGGCCTTGTTTTAACTTCATTCTTTTGCTGCTTTATTTTAGTTCAGAGGGCCAACTGAGGTGTCCATGACTTTGAGCCACTATAACATTGATAACTGGTTCTGTTCATTTACATGTTAATTGGGATCTTGCAAAACTGGTGCTGAAGGCCGTTCCTGTGCTGAAGGCATTGGCCCAGGCATCAGTAGATTTGTATCTGTATCCTGTTTCCTTTTGGGCTCTGGTTAGAATACGTACTTTGCTTATCCACACAGAAAAAATAAAGTTTTACTTATTCTTATTTCTGTCGTGAGGCTGAAGCAAGCCTACCACTTCAGAAGCACTTAATGGAGATGGCAATGCTAGCTACACATGTGTAGAGTGCTCCAAATTAATACTGAAAATGTAGCCCAGAGCTCGGTTCCTAAAGACACAAGCTTCCATGGATTAAGACTGTTAAGATTTTAAAATCAGACTGAAGAAAATGAACACCCCTGCTTAAATATGATATTGCTCTGAAATATTTGAAATCTGGTATATTAGTGCTGCTTCTGCATTTCAAGGAAGTAAAGACTCTGTTAACAGTCTTCTACTTGAGAAATGTAAGTTTTACTAATTCTATTAGAAAGAATTATTTTTTTTAGAAATGCAAATTATTTAATAATAAATAAATAACTAAAAATATAAATACATTAAAACATGTTAAAATGCATAACTCTGCGTAGATAAGCAATAATTATAGATAATTTAACTGTAAATACATTGAATAAAATATTACTTGAATTCTGTGTTATGTCAGAGGTGATTTGAGTTTAAATTAGGTTAGATTATATACTGCAGGAGACATTTTTGGTGTGAGCTACATCGCTTCTTATACCTTGTTATTTATTATGAGGATCAGGGTTCCTACTTCTGATACACAGACCTCTGCAGGGATAAGAGTGAACTCAGAGAAAGATTTAAAAGTTTAAGCACTTTCCAGAAGTCTTGCTGATTCATGCAGGTCTGTGGAATCCATTTGGAGACCCCATGAGAAGGGATTTTCTCATAAGGTTACTGATACTTCTAGTTGCGGCTGGTGGTCAAATATGGGAAGTATTTGAGGAGTTCACTGAAAAAGAAAGTAATGTGGATACGTTTTCCAGGTGAGACTGCCAAACTTCCCCAAAATGTTTTGATAACAACAGAAGAACAGGGTTTGTTTTGAATGCCAAGCAAAATGTTTGTCATGAGACACACTTCACAAGCACCGGTCTGCTGAGTCCACTTTGCCAAGTTGTTGTTTTCTGTGTTTCAGGAGAGGAAGTTTGTTGGGGGCTCTGGCCAGATCAGTGAGAAAATGATGGAGCGCCTGGGAGGCCGGGTGAAGCTGAGGAAGCCCGTTGTCCGCATCGACCAGTCGGGTGAAAGTGTCATAGTGGAAACCTTAGATCATGAATTATATGAGGTAATGAAACCTCCAGCATTTAAGCAACTGTGTGTGCAGGGATGGCTAGAAAACCTTCAGCTTTTCCTTTTTGACTTCTCCAAAATCCTGTACAAAAATGTAGCAGAGATTTAAGTGAGTATGACAGACAGTCACACTTTCTGATTGTCCTGAAGTAATAGCAATGGTAGAGCTTTAAAGTGATGCCTGAAAAGCAAAGTGTATATTCAAACTCTTCCTTTGCTAGCATCTCTTCTTTGTGTTCAGTTACCTTTTGAATTAAAGGATAATTGTAAGGTGAACACAAAAATGTAGTTTAGTAATGAACCTTCTGTGAAAAACATGGCAAGCTTTGCTTCCAAGTTGTAACAGGGGAGTCTAAATGGAAGGGAGACCAATGGACTTTTACAACAGAGCTTTTTTTTAAGTGCTGGGGAAAGAGCAGCTGCCCATCATTCAAAGAGATGGCTGTTTATATAATGCTTGTTTGTTGTTCAACAAGCGGGATTTTGTGAGGGTTCAGTTTTGCAATTCTTATGCTAAATACCAAAATTGCTTCAGAAGATACACCCTGCAGCCTCTCCAGATGTCTGCCAAGATCATTAGAGCAATATACTTAGGATGAAGTAGTGGAGAATGTATTTGGCTTATGTATAATTTCTTTTGCAGGGCAAATATGTGATCAGTGCCATTCCCCCAGCTCTTGGTTTGAAGATTCATTTCAACCCACCTTTGCCCCCAATGAGAAACCAGCTCATCAACCGAATCCCCATGGGCTCAGTCATCAAGTGCATTGTATACTATAAGGAAACTTTCTGGAGGAAGAAGGGTATTACATTTTAATTGAAAGGAGTAGTAGTGACAGAGAGAGGGAAGAGGGTTACATGGTAATGGAGTAGACTTTGTGTTTAGAGGATGCTGGACCTTAGAAGGAGACTTCACACACTTCTATGCCATTTTTGCCTTCCCCTGTTTGAGAAACTTGAGAGAGCGGTTGGGAAGAGAGGGTGGATGGGGGAACAAAAAGGAGGTAAGACATGAAGGGAGAGCTCATGCCTGTTGCTTATTGCCTTGGTTGTTCTTTGTTGTCCTCTCCTTTTCCTTCAGTGGCACCTGGCTATGAGATGAGTCTCTCCCACTTGTACAGTAATGTAAAGGTACAAGTGATGTGTGATGGAAGGAGGTTTTATCCCATCAATTATCAGCCTGCAAAATTCTGCCCTCTGGATGCACTGGCAATTGAAGGTGTCTTCACATAGACATCCCCAGCTGGGCTCGTCATCCTGGACTCCCTTTACATGCTAAATACTTCCATCATGATTCCTTAGCTCTCTTAGAACTTACCGAATCTAAGACAAACTGCAATGTAATAGCACCCATTTGTCATCACTGGTTATAATGAGTCCTCATCTGTGTTTGTCTACAAATGTCATCTACCCTTCATCTTTGTGAATGATTTCAAGAGTTCTGGATTCTGGCATATTCTGGATGTTAGGTTTGGGATGGATTGGCAAGAGGTGATTCCTATTTCCTGATATAACCCATAGCTTGCATACTGTGCTTTGCTAACACCATTGTTCTTCTTTTAAGAACAATTTATTTTCTTCAAACCCTTCTTTTAAGAACAATTGTGTTTTCAAAACAAGGTATGAATATTTCCTATGTCTGACATAAATGTCATATATGAAAACAACTGTGGTAGAGGCATTTCAATATCTTCAGTATCTGAGAGCAATCTGTTTCTGTGCAATTAATAGTTACCTTGCTAACTGGGTTGCAGAATAATTTATTTTTCTACCATGAATTCAACAATAGGAGGTGCTTTTATTGACTTTCTGTTTTAAAGACGCTTGAAAAGGATTGTTAATTATCAGCCCATCTCAGATCTAAACTTTCTCCTCTAGGGAGGATCTAGCACTTCTCTGACTCAAGGCACCACTATACTACATTGCCTTGCAGATCAGCAAGGGAGCTCTGTGCTAATCTTTGTCACTTGAGGGGGTCGCTTTACTTGGGTTTTTTGTTCTCCTTTCCTTTGTTTTCGTATCTCCCTGTAATAGAATCATAGAATCAGAGGATGATAGAGACTGGGAGGGACGTCTGGATGCCATCTAGTCCCATGCCTTGCTCAAAGCAGGGGGAATTTAGATCAGGTTGTGTAGGGCTTTTTCCAGTCAAGTTCTGAGTATTTCACAACTTCTTGGAAGCTTGTTCCTGCATTTGGATACATGGATCCTAACTTCTTTTCCACCTTGTGCTTAACAGGGTATTGTGGTACCATGATCATTGAAGATGAGGATGCTGCAGTTAGTTTAACACTTGATGATACTAAGCCTGATGGCAGCTTTCCTGCCATAATAGGGTAAGAGACAAAGAAAGTGTCTAGTTAACGCCTTTTTATTTTGTCTTAGAGGCAACAGTTGAAACAGAAAACCTGCTACTTTTGAAGGGAAATACTTTAAAATAGTTAAAGGGTTGAGTTTCTCAGTGTGTGGTGAATATGTTCTATGATTTTTTTTCTTTCAAAAAATGTTATCTCTATGATTTAATTGCTAACTTAAAAAATGAAATTCTGTTTTTTTTCTCACCATCATCTTTTACCTTTTTGTTTGGCAAAGTACAAAATTGGAGAAGAGGAAAGGAAGGAGAAGAAAAAAGGGGGTGATTGCAGAAATGTAAAGTTTTCTCCAAATATTTTGCCTCCCCCAGATCTTCCAGTTCTTTAAATTAAAATTTGTTTCTAGAATTATATTTTGTTTTGTTCTGGTTTTTTAAATAGCCAGAGAGTATGATCAGTCTTAAAAAGTGTATTAAACAATAATTTCCAGTTCAATCCCAGGCTTCACCTCTTGTTGCTATATGCCTGCACCCACTGCTGTATAAAATTAAGGGCATGGGGAAACAGCTCATATAAATATTCTAACCTGAATCTCAGAGTGGTTCCTTCCACAGTGAGTCCTGCAAGCAGCAGGCAGAGCATATAACATTATGCAGAGAGGTGAAATAGATATTTTGGATAGAAACCCAGAAGCTAACACTATGAATCACAGCATCCCATCTTAAGGTATTGGCATTTTAAATAATGGAGGAAATGTAGTAACATAATGGAAGTAAATTGTTCGTGATCTTCCTACAGCTTCATTCTTGCTCGGAAGTGTAGAAGACTGACAGGTCTCACAAAAGAAGAAAGGTAAGTACAAACACTGGAGATCTGCATGGAATCTGAGTCAAAATTCTGTTATAAATGACCAGAGCAGGAAAAAAATGCCCCAGTTTGAAGGAAGTTGTCTGTAACCTTGTGACAATAGGCAGATGTGTTGCTTTAAGGAAGAAAATATCTTTCTTGTTTTTGGATGAAAGCCCCATGGAATTCCCACAAACCGGCAGCAGATGTGGTAGCTGGCCCCTGCCCTTTGGAAACTCTCTGGTCCTGGTTCTCATTTTCCAGCAGGGCTGCTCTGCTTATGTGACTCTAGCAGAAGAACTGCTCTAAGCTGCTGAATATGAAAATAGCGTAGATATTCTGCTGCCTTCACTGGAAAGGGTCCAGGGCCAGCCTCATCCCCCCAACACTGCCACCTCTCTAGCTTCCTGCAAGTGCACTGAGCTCTTTGAAAGCTTGTCAGAAGGGACAGGTTTGGCCACTGTGCTTAATTTTTTTTCTAATTGCCCTGGAGGGTCCTTTCAGTGGCTGTAACTTAGTGCAATCTTGAGGTTGCTGTAGCTGCCATAAACGAAAACTCAGCATCATGAAGGGGTCAAAAAGCTGCCACCAGCTCTCCACCCTCAGTTTATGGGGGGAAAAAAATGCCCTTCAGGCACAAGATGAAGGTCTTTTTTACTGTCTTCTTGAAACAAATCTCTGCATACAGTAGTGCTCTTTGGTTTATTACTAAAATAGATTTTACAAAGTAATGAGGTTTTTTCCATCACAGTGATTCACAGTATCAGATAAAATTAAAGCTACAAGTAGAGAGTGTGGATATGAGGAGAGCCTTATTTTGACATGGGGAAAATACATTTGTTTTTAAAGCATGCCACAAGGAATACTGTGTCCAAGTAAACATTTTTACAGTAATAGCTAGTCTAACTAGAGAAGATGTAGTCATCTTAGATTAGCTTTGCAGGTAGTCTAGCCGTCTGTGAATAATGGGTCCAAATGGAGCTGTTAATGTCCCAGTCTTTTTAAATGACAGCCTGGTAGCACAAAGCACTTTTAATTTGGGCAGTAATGGACAAGGCAGCCTTTTCCTCAGCACTCAGGCTTTGAGATAGACCCCCAGCATGTAACTGACAATAAAAGTAGTGTAGGTATTCTGAAATCCAGTGTGCCCAGCATTTTAAGCTGTAATAAACACCAAATGGTGTCTTATGCTGTATTTCAATACACTAGATACAACTGAGCATTTGCAGTATTTGGGAACAGCTTCTCTTTCTGTGAAATGAATGGCTGTCCTGGCTGTTTGCAAGGCACCATGAAGGAAAGGTTGCTTTCCCCTGGGTGTTAAAAGCATTAGCACAATTACCTGACTCTGCTGCTGCCTACAGCCAAGGTATAAACAAAAGGATTTTGAACTCTTTGTCTTTTGAGGAATAAACCTTAGACTAGGAAGGACTTTCCTTTGGTAAAGATGGGTATGAAATATGCTTGGGTTGGTACCTGATAGATGTACCCTGGTGCAGGGGTACCTCCCTGGCTCCTGCAGTCCTGGCCACAGCCAGCCAAGGCAGGAACCCGCTGGGCTGCATTGCAGCTCCTGTCCTGCACATGAGCACAAGTCCCCTTCCAATGGAAATCGGGGTCCAGGAGAAGGCAGAGTGTGAACCCGGACCTTCCCCCAGTGTACACTCAGGGTGCAACCAGTTTGTGTTGTTTAGATGGAGGCTGTGATGTTTGCAGGGAGGGATCTCTTCTGAGGACAGGCTTCTTGTGGCACCCTACAGAGGATGCATCTCACTGAGATGCTGTGCTCACCTGTCACTACAAGTTGGGCTCTCCCTTTATCACACTGATGACAAGGTAAGGTTTTCGGTAATCCTTGAATACGAAGAGTAGGACGTAGAGTCTGTGGCAGCTATCCTAAGTCATGGCTGGGAACAGCAGTTGCGGGATGGGATGGAAACTGTTTTACAGCCTAAGCCAGAATGAAAGGAGTAAAACTCACTGCTGCCTTCCAGCTGGTCTTCCCAGGCCAGGTGCCAATGAGTAATTACAGTGGTTAGATTGTGCCCTACCTTTCACAGCTTTGCAACAAAGGTGATGGTATCATATACTGCTGTGGAATAAGAGACCAGGAAAAAGAGCCGAGTGTCTGCACGTGCACTTCTTCCACACTGAACACAGTTTAACTCTCAACAGGACCCTACCTACGTAGCTCCAGGCATAACATTCCTCTTATTTAGTGCTGGTGGCAATTTCACAGCTGAGTCCAAAGCCAAGAAATAAGGATTTTACTCACTGCGTATTCCCTATGTTCTATGCTAGCATTAAGCATAAATCCATAAATAAGTATTTATATAAACTGTTCTAGGACAAAAAGTGCAGATGTTGCAGAGAGACCAGCACATCTGCAAGGATTTGCTCTTATTAGGGCAAATGTCCTCAGTGATAGATTACTGTTGGTACAATTCAATCCTTTAGAAACTGCTTTTCTGTGTTTCTTTTCTGTCAAATAATGCCTTATTATTGATGAATAATTCCTTCCAGGGTTGAAATTTCTTAAGATTCTGAAGATGCCCTTGGCCTGAAGCTTAATATTTTCTTTTGCACGGCTATCTTAACTAACTTTATCTGTATCTGCAATGTAGTTAACAAACAGCAGTGAACTTGCACCTTTCTGGAGGCCTGCAGTTGGCTGTACATGAGAATCCCTACCAGCCTCTGGGATGCCATTTCCAAGCTCGCTGGAGGGTCTGCAAGTCATGTGTGGGAAAAGGGCAGGGCACAGACGATCTAGAGGGGTCCTTCTCATCCCTGTTGTGGTGCTGGGAGGAGCAGAAGCAGATGGGTCCCAAGGTGATAACTCGCTTTCCTGTGGAGCCCTGTGGTGTTACTGACCTGCCCTGAAAGCAGGAGCCGGTGGGCATTTGTGAGAGTTGGTGGGCAGACCTCAGCAGAGGCTTTGATGGATCATGCTGTTAAAATGGCTTTATTCTGTTCGGACACTGGGTAGGTGCTGGTGGTCTGCAGGGCATGATGATCACCTCACTTAGGGAGAGACGGAGAGAGAGATGGAGGAAATTATCCCTTTTGTTATGGCTGTTGCTGGATTCATGTCACCCCCTGCCTGCAGCGGGATGTTCATATACAGATCTTGCAGCTCTCTGAGCCCTACAGGCCAGTCATGTGTCACCATGCATTTCTGCTTCTGAAGCAGGCTGACCCTTGTCCTCTGCCTCGGGGCACAAGGAAGGGACTGCTTCCTTCCCCTCTGCTGCTGCTGGTCTTGACACCCGCCAGCAGCAAAATCACCCCAGGGCCACAGCTCTTCCTGAACTGTAGCAGCCTTCCCTTTCTTGCTCAAGCCCCAACCTGTAGAGGAGGACACCTTCTTAAAGGCCCTTCAGGTCTTCCTGGGTTTTTTTTTCCTCCTCACCCCCTTTCTATAGCATTCTTTGAGTTCAGCTGCTCATGGGTATAGCTGGCCTCCTGTATAGCTGGGTGCTTCATACAGCAGTATAGATATGGTTTCCTCATATTCTTATATAGCTGCAAGTGTAGCCCATACAGTTACAGAGCTGGGACTGCTGTATTTCTGTGCCCAGCATGGCTTTCTGTGGAGTACAGGATTTGCTTCCAGAAGTAAACGTCTTTCCAGTGTTGTGTTTGCATGTTTGTTTTTTGTAATTGTTAACTATTATTTCATCTTGATCTTCTTGTGTTTGGGAATTGGTGCAGTGCAGTTAACAGTAAACAGTAAGACCCAAAAGCTAGTAGGAACAAACTTAATTGCACTTGGGATTTGCTACAGAATGAAGTATATTCATGGATTTATAGACTCATAAACTAAAACAGGAGAAAATTTTATAGATACAGAAATAAAGTACTGATTCCCTGAGAGCCTCAGGCTATCAATACCTGCATCTTTGTAGGAACAAAGCGTAAGTTAGGCTATGTGCCAAGACAAAAAGTGCAATGCCTTACTTTCTTTTCCTGTGACAGCCTGGAGAATCTTTGGATAATGTATGGATCTGGGCTGCTAGAGGTATCTTAAATGAACAGCTTGCATAACTGCTGGTAAAACCGGCACTTACACAGCACAGGAGTTTGAGTGAGTTATTTGTAGGGATCCAGAGGCTGACCAATTAGGATAGATCCCCAAAAGCTGGAACCTCAAGTTCAAGCAGATATTAATACTTGCTCTCTTGAAACTAGGATGTATTAGAGGTGGTTTGTTTTCTCTTTCTTCACACAGAAGTCTTCTGTTGCTTTTCTCTTGCAGGAAGACAAGGCTGTGTGAGCTCTATGCAAAGGTTCTGGGATCAGAGGAAGCTTTACATGTAAGCACAAAATCTAAACCGCGGCGTCTCTTGTCAGACTTGTTGAGCTGGGGAAGGGCAGAATGAAACCGGAATGCAGCAGTGCCCTGGCACAGCACTGTGTAGCGTTTTGGAAAAGGTACCTCCTACAGGAGCACTTGCTGCCCTCTGCAGAGGAGTGGAGAGAGGGTCATGGCAAGTCGTGGGTTGTGTTTGACAGTGAGGGCAAGAATGAGCTTATGAAACAGTTAAAAGGCAGATATGTTCTCGTCCAGGTTCATGGGTGCCATTCACAGTGCTTACCACCATACGCCTCAACTGTTTTCAGATGTGACAGGCTTGCTTTTCCCTCTCAGTCTATGTGGAGCATAATGTTTCTTCTCTCTTACTAGTTGCTAAGATCCATTGCTGCATGTGGTTTTTTGGTTTGGGTTTTGTTGTTGGGTTTTTTTTGCCTTTCCCTTGCCTTCTCTTCCCTGCAATGGTAAATAATTGATAGGATTTGTGTGATCTCACACTTAGTTTATGTGAACAACCCTGTTTATCCTTTAAGGGCAATTTTATGTGAGTTAAATGTTGCAGACACCAGTCTAGAGATTACATCGTTTTAAACACAATGGTATTGTATGCGGAACCATGCAAGTGCCATACTTTGTGTTTTTAACAGTATATATTTGTATCCAATTTGTACATATTACAAGTATTACACCTGTGTACAGCAGAGGTTAATTTTGCTTTACATGGCTCAAAGCATAAATTTTTGCTCAAAGCATAAATTTACATTGACAGATTAAGAGCATTATGTTTTACAGTGGCCAGATTAGCTAGTTTCTTTAAAAATACCTGGCAGTGTCTAAAATTAAGGCTTATTGTGTCAGATCCATGTTGCATTAAGAGACTTGTTAAATGTGTTCGTCTTGTCAGACGTTGACATGCAACAAATCATAAGCTATTCTTCTCTGCTGTCTCCTCAGTTCTTTTATTACCTTCCTCGGGACTTTGTCCTTTCCTTGAGTGAATTAATCTCTGTTTTACAGCCAGTGCATTATGAAGAGAAGAACTGGTGTGAAGAGCAGTATTCTGGGGGCTGCTACACAGCCTACTTCCCACCAGGCATAATGACTCAGTATGGAAGGTACAGTCTCTATTTATAGTGGGCTTCGGAGTAGTAAGATAAGACCAAGTTAATAAATATCCTCAGAAAGGGTCATAAATCCTCTGTCACTGTTCGCTTTATACCTTGAAGATCACTGGGGAATATTTTAAACAGATATCATAACCTTCCACTTGTCTCAGTTGGGCTTTATGATGGATGAGTACAGTATCATTAGGGGTTTTTATTCACTTTTGTTATTTGGTGAATACAGCTGAGTATGTTCTTGGAAGGGAGTTGGGAAGCTTTCACAATCTGTTTACAAAACTGGCTTTGTGTATTTAAGATTGGTGTTACTGTTTCCAGCACATCTTTAGCTGGTATTTTATAAATACTGGCAGAGAGTTAGTTCTTGCCAACGTTGACAGTAATGAGTGATTTCTTTGGACTGTTCCTTTCCTTTTAGCAGTCAAGGTTTAATATAGTAATCAGTGTGTCATTGTATACATTCCTCTCTGAAATAAGTTTTTGCATGAAAATATGATGTACCAAAAAGAAAAAGTCTTACTGGTCAGACCAATGATGGAATTCAGATACATAGTTTTTAATGTGATGGCATAGCCCTACTTTTGAAGTATAACTTTTCACAATGTAAAAAGAACTTAGAGCAATAAAGCAGTTGTAGTGAAGAGCATATGGAGGCCTTAGTATTTAAAGTAATTTTAATTATAATTATTGCAAATTCTGGCAAAAACAGAGTAAAAAAAAAACTTTTAAAACTTTTTTTCATTTGCTTGTTACATTAGATATCATGGGGATCTACTTCAGAATCCTACACTGCACCAGTAATGCCTACCATTGGTATTTATGACACTGGCTAAAATCATGGGATAAAATAAGTCTCATTTCAAATTAATTGTCCTTTACACCTACAAGCAGTGTAAATATTTAGAAAATATGAACACTGATGTGTTTACTGTAAGAAATGAAACGCAATGCAGACTCACTCTCCAGCTCAGCTCACCCAAAGCTCCTATCTTTTAAGTGCTTGCTGTTATTTAAAACACTTTTATTCTAATATTAACCCAAGTATTTCAGTTATCTTTCCTGATATGACCAATGTGACTTACTGCTTGTCGCCCTCCAGGATTATTCGGCAGCCCATTGGCAGGATATACTTTGCTGGCACAGAGACAGCCACAGAGTGGAGCGGATACATGGAGGGGGCTGTACAGGCTGGAGAGAGAGCAGCCAGAGAGGTACCGGCGCAAGCCCAAAACAGGGGACACTGTCAAATATCCTATGGAAAATGATCTTCTGGTTGGAGGTGAAATGGGAACTGAGTATTGACAGCTTCAGGCGTTCTGAAATCTTGATGCAAATCCCTGCAAAGGGGATAGACTTCAAAAAGGATGAAGGTTTTGCACTTAGATTTGGAGTGCTTAGGAAGGGCTCTGGCTATTTCATCAAACTCTTCTCTGTTTCCAGGAATGAAATACTTTCTTCTTTAACAGAAACCCCAAATTCTCACCTAGTTGTTTTTTCCCCCAAATGGGCACTTTGTTAGTCATCATACCAAGAGATCATGGTCATTAACCTCACTAGGAACAGCTCAGTTCTGCAGCTCTGCACACCAAGCCAGTCCCTTCCTCAACTATTTCCAACAATACTGTTGACACAGTGATATACCATTGAGACAGCCTTACATAAAGTCATTAAACAAGGGCTTAAATATTTTGCTTCTGAGAACATGCCAATTCCTCAAGTATTTTCAGGAATATTACAGTTTATTGAGCAGCAAAAGAAATGTCATCTTTGTTTTATGAGGTGAAGGGAACCTTGTGGCTAAAAACTATAGTCATGGAACAGAAATGGGCCTGGAAGGGATCTGGAGAGTTAGTCTAGCCCATACCCCTGCCCCAAAAGACAGGGATCAATTGTCCCTAGACTGTCCCATTTGTGAAGGTTATACCTAACATGTTCCTGAGAACCTCCAGAAGTAGTGCAAGGAAAATATGTTTAAAATCTAGTGCAAGGGTGCTTCGCACTCTCCTGTGTTGAAAAGTTGACGCAGTCCATGAATCTTGTCTAGAATCAAAGCCCGTTGTAAAAGGCAGCAAATCTTAAATCTACAAGTGCCTGGAATAGGAAAAACTTTAATACCACCACCTCCATTTTATTTTACTGTAGAAGAAGTTAATCTTGCTGTCTTTCATGACTATAATTTCAGATAATCTTTGCTGTCCTACTGATTTCTGGTATCTTTGATACTTCAAATGGTTACTTTTCCATTGTGAAGGTTTTCTTTTTAGTCTTGCTTTTCTCTGGCTGAAAGTGGTGGTCTGTCATCACTTACAGGATTCTGTTCCTCTTCCTACATCATGGTAAAATTTGCAAAACAAGCTACTCCTGGCTCTGTAGCTTGCCCATGCAGTAGCTGGTTTATGCACACCTCACTTTGCCATGAGTGTGTACTTAACTCTTAGTCATATTCATATTACCCTGTTCCCACGGGACTACTCAAGTTCCAATATCTCGCATGGACTAACTAAGCAGAGAGGTTTTTCTGTTACTGTTTCTATTTCCACTAGGAGGAGTATCTTATTAAATATCAGACCTCCCCAGAAATGAGTTGTACAAAGGTCGAGTTTTCTTTTAAAATTTGAATACACAGAGGTTTATGTGCTTAATTGTTGTCTTCATCACGCCATTTTAAAACAAAAATTGAAGCCAACTCTTTTTCCCTTCCAAAGAATGAGTGGTACTTACTGGAGAATGTTATTTATTTTCAGATACTGTTTGCTATGAGGAAAATCCCAGACAGTGAAATTTGGAAGCCAGAACCTGAATCAATTGTAAGTCTTTCTGTAGATTAAATGGATTATTTTTTTTCTGTGGTTTTGTTGATGAGATAAAATGTTGTTGACTGCTTTTATTTAAGTTCACTAAATCAAAGCCACAATAAACTTTCCCCTACTCACCAAAACTGCCCTTACCTAAACAGGAACATGATAGAAACTCAGAGAGGTCACCCATCTGACAACTCTGTAATATGGGATCAGAAAGAACTGCACTTTTTAACTGGGCTATGAATCCTTTCCATGTGTCTCTTCTTCTTCCCTTTAACTGAGCAGAAAATTTTGATACACTGTACTTCTTCATAACATGAAGTCCTTCAACCCAGTTCTGTTTCTGCCGCAAGAATCTCTCAATTTACATCCTGCCTCTCACAGTGGAGATGTTATTTTGATAATGGATGCTCTCCCCACAGGATGTTCCAGCTTTGCCCATCACTACAACCTTCTGGGAGAGGAACTTGCCGTCTGTGCCAGGACTGCTAAAGCTGATTGGATTGTCCACTTTCTTCACCTCAGTGGCTGCGGCTGGGTTATTTGCCTACAGAAAGGGACTTCTAGTTCGAAACTGAAAAAGGTGCCAACGCAAATCCTCACACTTGAGCGGTTTTCTTTTTTTTGGAGGGTTTTTTGGCATGTACTTCCCTGTCTCCAAAATCAGATCAGGACTGGGGAAGAGGAGAAAATAGTAGAGAGAAGAGGCTGGAGGGGAGGGATAAAGGAAGGTGATCCATATTGAAAAAGAACCCTTTCAATCCAGGCCTACTTCTAGCAGGAACTTTTTGGTGTCGACGCAGAAGTCACGGACACTGCACACAATCAATATGATTAAAGCAGATGCCAATTTATTGCCCAAATAGCTTGGTTTATATAAGTATTTTAGTTCCTGCTCATGCGTAAGCCATCTGTTGATTGGTTAGCATGTGCTGTCCACGCGCCTAAAACAATAATTTGATAGGATAAGGCCTTCTGATCACGCGAATGGTTCCCCCGCCTGTAACTTGTCTTGTGTCCTGCTTTCAGTCACGTAGGCCCAACTTTGTTCGCATTTTGTGCTTATTTCATCAAACTTTTATAGCAACAGTTAGCCTTGTTCTACTTTTCGTGCTCGCTTCATCAAATTTGTAGCAACAGTTAATCTTTGCCACGTCCTTGAGGCCTGCTGCCTGCAGAGGCCTTTGGCTCACGGAATAATCAGTTCCATTGTGCCTGGATTGTTCACTATATGTCCATTGTTTTCTAAATATCCCACATTTTGGTTGTTGAATTTCTAGGATACCCTGCCATGCATTATCACCTTGAGGTTTTTATCTGGATCTCAGAACAGAAGTGACAAAATACCTCTATAAAGCCTGTTCTGATGAGGTTTCCAGTTCTTTTTACACTTAGATCTGAACCAGACCCTGAACTCCAAGTCTTCACAGGTACTTCCATCTCTAGTTGTAAACTAAGGATTTCTGCCTTCCTGTGTGGTAGACTGAGAAAAGAAATCCATTGCTTAACGAATAACTAACTAGTTCATGCAAATTACTGGTAAGGATCTTTTTAGTGTTTTTACTTTTTACCCAGATGTCCAGAGCCCAGGCAGCACCTAAGCGACAAGTCAGGCTAAATTTATCCATCCAAACTATGCAAGTGTGGCCATAGGTTGTTGGCATTTCCAGTGGCATATTTGTCCTACAGCGAGTTAAAGGACAATGTTTTTACTGCCTTTAGCAATGTGGTTGAATTTCAGGCTCCCCAGCAGCTTTCACACTGCCTGGAATGGCAGAGCTCATGTGTCCCAGTCGAGTCCGTCCCTGCGCGGGATCAGATCTCCTCTGCCTAGAAATCTGGCAGGCTCCAGACTATAGCTGATGTGTACAGCGGTATGGCAGATCAGGCTGTTGGACCTGAGTGTGAATGGGGAACCTTGTGCTAATATACAGGCACAACCTTTTGAACCTTTTTCACCCTGTCTGACATATCTTTACCTCCAAGGTCCTCTTTTAGCTCCCCAAGTTGCTGCAAGATAGCAAGAGAACAAATCAACCTCTGCCTACCCCAGGAAGCTGCAAAGCTGTCCATAGAAAACTTTTACATATTTTTTTCTTACCTCATTTCTTTCTTTCATCTACTTTAAATTTCTACTTTGAACACCTTGATGCTGTGTTTTGCCTGGTAGGGCACAATGGTCTTGAAAATGTAGTGTTAGCATTACAAAAAAAACCCAACGAAAAAAACAATTTAGCTGCCCCCCAACACTTGCTTCATGCTGAACACAGTTTAGCTGATTCAGAGCTTCAATCTCTGCTAACAACCATATTGATGGGATTAGCACTTCCACTTCTGCCTGCTGTGCGGTGTTGTACTGACTGAGCACTTTTGGTAACTAATCAAGGATCTAAATGATAGAGACACCAAAGAGAACCATGGATAGGATAGTCACATGCAAGTGCTTCTGCCCTCCCTAGCTTGGTACCTTTCAAACAATGTAAAAAAAGAAAAAAAGAAGAAAAAAAAAGAAGAAAGAAAAAAAGAAACAAAAAAACCACAACCACCAAAACCTTAGGTGCCTACCTGTCAACATGATGGTACCTTTTTGTAGGTATTTCTGCTGTTTTACATCTGCACAATACAAACCAGGAAGACACAGGTATAATGGAGAACAGGATTTGGTGCACGTGAAGTTTGAGATAACTGGAATTTTTCTGAGCCTGTTTGCTGCACTTCTCCCTTCAACCAGTGCTGATTTATATGTAAAAAATTATATTTCAGTACAAAGCCATGGAAGGAAGTATAATAATACATTCAGCAACTAGTGTGAGCAGACAGTAGAGGACCTGTATCACCAGTTCTCAGGCAGACTTTTTGGGTTAGCATCTGATCCTGCTTGTGCAGAGTAGTACTTCATTCTCCAAATAGTCCCATGGAAATCCACTGAACCACTTATAAAGCTGTAATATTTGTGAGCAGCGCATCAGTTTCTGGCCCTTAGGTTTCATTCTTTTTAACTTGATGTGCCAGTTAAAAATATTCTTGTAGCAGCAGCTTGGATTTTATCACAAATGAATATCCTCATAACAGCCTTTTAAAATGCATAGGGGAACTTTTCAAACATAAAGATCTTTAAGTCAGAAGAACAGTGCAGCAGTGTACATATGGCCTTTCTCATTGTATCACATAGAGCACTAATTGGCTGGGACATTTGCCTACCACAGAGTGCTTCTACGTGGCTTTCTCTGTGTGATTTATTTACTAAATGAATTAGGAACCGAAAGCTGAATGGGAACTGTGTAAGTTCAGAGCTTTTGAAACTCAGACAATTCTCAGGCCAGAAATAAACATAGGAACCTAAATTCGGGAAGACATTTTTAAAGTCTTGGCCCAATACTTGTAAGCACTAGACGGTGAATACATACTTAACATATAAAGAACTGCTGCATTTGCAGATGATTTCTCTGCCAAAACTGTTTGGAATTCAAGTCTTGCTTCTGCCCTAGAAGTACTCCAGAGGTCTCTAAAGGGGAGCAGATCCATGAGACTAATGAGGATAAACTGGTTTTATTCATGTCCAAAATGTATCTCTCTCTTCTTTGCTCCTGAATCTGGCAGAGGTTTTTGCTGGTCTAACAAGAAAATGTTGTGTGCCACAGGCGAAAAAGATCCAAGGAAATACAGAAGTTAGGTATAGTTAGAACTGAACTGAATCATAACCAAAGCTTTTCGTGAGATTGGTCAATTTTTAAAAAAAAAAAAGGTATATCATTAGAAACCTTTCTTATTCTTAGTTTCAAAGTGAAACAAAAATGGGAAAAAGAACCAACAAAGTATTTATCATGTTATTCTGCCACAACTAAAAGTAGCTGTGACTTGAAATCTCAAATGAAATTTGGATCCCCTGAGATTTCTAGCCAAATCTGATAGAGCTGGGAGGTTTGAATTGCAACATCTGTATTAGCACTCAAAAGTCTCTGTCTTCTTCCTTCCAGACTGCCAAAGCATTAGGAATGCTCTCTTTGTCTTTCCAGCTGTTTCTTGCCACGATTACGCTGTGGAGCTGATCACCACTATGGGATTAAAAAGAAGGATTTGCTGCTGTTTTCTCAACATCTTCCACGTAAAAGGCACTTCGTGTATTTGGATGCCAGTGTGATGAGAAAATTGACAAATGTAGGTAGAAAGTCAAGTTGCTTCCCCATGGGTAAAGGGAACTGTTCACACTGGCTTACATTTTTAAAATTCCTTCGTGCCAACCCTCCAAAGAGAGGAATGAAGTCTGGTTTTGACGGGTTACCAGTTGTGCTATATTCTTAATTTATTAACGTGATGAGAAATCTGCTATCATGAAAGTTCCAGCAGTTTACGAGCTTTGTAAAATGTATTATAGGAACAACCATGGAACTAACTGTATTTGTCTCTTACAAACTGATTTGTGTTATCATGCATATTTTGTAAGGCTCTTAAGAGTTTGCAAAAAAAAAAAAAAAAGAGGTTTACTTGCTTGTACACTGTTATGATAGCAACTGTATATTGCAAAGGATGTCGGGTCAGGGCACGAAAATCTTGTGTTAACCAAAGTACTTGAAAGCTAATTGTATAAACTCCTTGACAATAACAAGGAAGTGAGCAATCTGAGGCAGCCCCTTGTCTTTCCTTTACCCAGTCCATTTTTTTTCTCAGTGCAGACTTGATTCCACATAGCACATCTGCTGTCAATACAACAAAGACATTAATCACAATTAAGTATTTGTCTGAGCATTGTCCATCACTGGAACCCAGGGCCTGGAGGAGAAGCTAGGGACTTCTATTACAACAGTCTTTGTGTATCCTCAGTGGGACTATTGTTTCACTGAGGTAGACTTTACAGAAGTGCAGATGACAACAGATCTGCTACTGCTCTCAGGCAAGAAGCAAACCCACTTAAATTGCAGATTACAAATGCTCACAAATAAACCTGACCTGTGTTTAAATGGACTAACTTTCCCTCTCCCATCTCCACCACCTTAAGATCACCTTGATCTTACAATCTGTTCTTCAATAGAGATAAAAATGAGATGGCCAAAACAGGCTTGCTTCAAAGTATCTCTACAGTCAAATCATTTAGGCCTTGTCATAGACTGCTGCTTATAGCGTGTCTCCTGTGGTCATGTACAGGTCAGTGTTCAGTGATGCCTGCCTCTGTGTTTTGGAAAAAAAAGAGTGACTTCACTTTGCAGGAATATATATGCTGTGTGTGTGATGAATTTGTGCCTTTTATAACTGTAGCATTTTCTCAAGTGCCTCTGTGGTGACTGTCTCCCTTGGTTTCCTTCTTAAGTTCCCTTTTCAATAGGCTCTGCAAATATTTTTATCTGACAGCTGTGAACTTTTTCTAACCTTAATTAGAATCAATAAATATTGTCATGTCACATTTACTGTTTAAGGCTTTTCTTTTGTGGAAGCCCCTTTTGACTTGGTTGAAATGGTGAGTATTACTTAGTAACACAATGTTTTGCATTTCATCCTGAAGCCGGTGAGGAATCTTCAGCTTTTCTCAGTAAAGCAAGCTCTGTAAAGAAGGAGGAGAGATGGATAAAAAAAACAAACCAACCCCCCAGAAGCCAAAAGACCCTCAACCCCCCCCCCTTCCAATCAAACACCAAAAAACTCAAACCACATTTGGTAATAATTCTTCCTAACATATAGGTGACCACCTGCCTTACACTTAAGAATTAGTTTTTATTGCTGTAGGTGGATTTGGAGTGTCCCCATCATGAACCTACCTCTCTTGGAGCCCCTTGTTTACCAGAACATGTATGGGCAGGGACACGTTTTATAGCTGCTCATAAGAGTCAAGGGCAGGTGCTATCCAGCTGTCACTGAACATGGGAAGAAACAGACCTTGTACCAAATACTGTGTGGTGTAAACATAAAAAACCTGGAAGAAAAGAAAGACAAACATCACTGGCTTAATTTCATTCAGCATCTCAGTGTCAGTGCTAGAGAGATAATGTAACCAAAGAACAAATTCGGCCTTGGGAAGGGACCTGTTTTTCACAAAAACATTGCGTATGAATACTGGCAAAATCGTAACCATCCATGTGAAAAATGCGTCAAAAGCATGCAGTGCTCTTTGTATAGGCTTAACTTCCAGTATTACTTACAAGTTATAAAGGAGCACAAATACCATGAAAGCAAATACCCTCAACTAATCCTTTGCATGCTCTATAAAGCATCCGTCCCCTAAGAAACGTATCAGAACCAGCAATGCATTTCACAGGCCCTCAAAGCAGCTCACAAATGGTTATGACTCTTAAGCATTGCTGCCTTGGGTCAGATTTGAACTACCTCTTTAACCCTTTGTTCAGACGTGTCCTGTGGCATCCCAGAGGAGGTACTGAAATGGTGGTATTTTAATTTTTTATTTATTTATTTATTTACACAGCTTTCAGTGTGCATGTCAAAAAGACTATGTGAGCTAGGGGGCACTTCATTATTTCCAGCAGTCCAGGGTACAGAAAATTAATTTGGAGAGATTAATACAGGAAAAATGCATTTTGGATAACATCTATAGAAGATAGTAATATAATTTCCTGAGAAACCAATTAGAAATCCCACTCATTGTTTAGGAGAGGGTAGGATGTGTTTGCAAATTATTTGGCTAAATCATACAAACCTCACTTCTAGTATGAGAACTGAGGGTAATTTTGACTCTCACCTTGTATAATTATACCAATCTCCTCATCTGAAGCAAATCCCAAAATGTTTGAAGGACTGACAAGTTTTGCCTTCTGGTTCAAGGCAGGATAAATTCCCCTTGGGCCTGTAACATTGCCTCAGAAAAAAAAACCAACCAAGAATGAAAAGCAAAACTGGCCTCAGACCGTACAGAACCAAGATACAGTTTGGTATCTACTGGAAACAAGGGAAGGCTTTTCGTTTAATTTAGACCGATGCGTTAAGGCCCAAGTTTTTGCCACCTCGTTTGAGGTTCTTCCATCAACGGGGTTGCAGAGACACAGTTTCTTGTCTGGCTGGTCCTCCTCTGTGCGGTGAGCGGGGAGAAGGGGGCTCCTCGCCTGGTGGTTCAGCCGATGCAGGACTGGAGGAGTCCTACAGACACGTCCTCCTCTCACTTTCCATGTAGGAGGATACCCAAATTGATGGGGTTTCTACCTTCAGCATCTCAGTTACGAGTTTCAAATAGATGGGATTAACTTATCAGATCTAATGCATGTATTTCACTTGTTCTGCAAAGACATTAATAGCAAGATTAGATGTTTTCAAAATGGACGTGAGATTTACCCACCTAGAGAGCAATTCAGGAGCCGAAACGCAGTTGCCTTGTGCCTTTCAGACATCTGAGGGCACCTTATCCAGCCTCCAGCTGCTGCTCCGAAAGGCAGCAGCTCTTCCAGAGGCCGTGAGTCCTAAACCAGCCCTGCGCAGGTGGCACAGATGCTCTTTGGATACCGAACTAGGCAGCTTCTACCTCCCACCAACTACTGATAGCAATTAAGTACTTAAATGCCTCCTTGGGGTATTTAGCTTTGGAGAAATGCAAACAGGGATAATGCAGGCCCTGTGAATCTAACGTGATGCAAATTAATAGACTGCATGTTAATAGGTAGCTGCACGTCCTTTATGCAGGCAGGCTATACAATTATTTTGTTGGTCATTGGAAAGACAAGCAAAGGCCTGATATTCTAGTCAGTTAGAATATTAGTGGTGTTTCCTAGAAAAGCCTTCAGTTAGCATCTAAGTGCCAAGTTAAGCTGTAAAAAAAATACACCTTAGTAAAAGGGTTTGTGAATTGATTTTAGTTTGCATGATTTTACAGTCAGTAGCAATAAGCTATTCTGAAGCTAGGCTAGAAAAAACTCAAAAATTAATTTTAAATAGCTGTGATGATAAGCTGTGAAACACACCCTAAGGGTTTTGTCCACTGGGTCTTTACCCAGTGCCATGCTGGCTCATCCCTGTTTTCCATTCTTCTCAGCCTTGCTGAAAGAGGCAAACAAAGTTGTTTTAAGTTCTTATGTCCATCATAGGTCAAAGACAGTCTCACTCTGTGTTTTGACAGGATGTGAGAGATATCTTTTCTAATTTAGGAGTAAAGGGTTATTGGCTTTCACCCAGGGTTGGTTTTTGCGATGTGCACAGGGAGTTTTCTGTTAACAATGTTTACAATCCCTCCGTAGTGGAACGGCCCTAACAAAATAATCAATATCCATCCAGCTCCATTTACTCTGGCATCTACAGGCTCTGTAGGCTCCCTCCCCCCATCCCTGCAACTTCGAGGGGGGAAAAAAGCCTCATCCAAATCGAAGCGATCTGTTCATCTGACGTACAGCAGAAAGGGTCTGAGAAAATACAGACCAGCCTCACCTGCACAATGGCATAATGTCATTGAACACCAGCATTAACTCTGAGGGAATCTCATCGAGTGCCACTTCCCTGCGGCAGCAGAGACTTTATTGAAGAAGCGCTCGAGGAAGCGGTACCCAGCAGAAACACCAGCCTTTGGCTGATTGGGTCTGTCAAATGGCTCGGTTCGCTCCTGCACCGCCGTCTAATGGGATTCAACACTGCACTCAAATATGCTGTGATGTTTAGATGGGAAGGAGGGGAGAAAAGGAAGCGTATTAATAATGCACTGAGGCATCCTTGTTAGCTCGCAGGCTGTTCGCTCCCAATTTGCATATGCTCCAAGTTGTAAGAAAACACTTTGCACAGCAGTGTTGCATTTAGCAGAAATTACATTATAATTTCAGATGTGAAAACTTCTATTCCAGGTCTGAGGCAGTGATTTGTCCCATCAGCCTGTACAGTCATTATCTTAAACAATTGAAATGCATGCTTGCACTTAATCAAAATCAAGGCGAGACATTACTCTAGCCTCCACTTGCCAATTCAACTCAGAGTGGAACAAGAATATTAGACTAAATTAGAAACTATGTTATTTCCCAATAATTTCTTCATGAGCTGGAGTTTGGCCAGGGTGCTTTTTCAGAGGTTGCATATTTAGAGCCAACTCCTCTATCTATCTCTGTAAAGCCAACTGCTGCCAAAGAAGCCCCCTTCTCCGAGGCAGGGAGTGCTCAGGTGCACTTAGGATCTGTGCTCACACTTTTCTTCCAGCTCCTTCGTGCTGCCAAGCAGCAGAATCGACTTCAGCTGCCCTTCAGAGGAATTCTTGCGGTGCTGGCAGAGGCGCAGTGCAGCAGCCATTT